TGTGCTCTTCTCCTCTGTCCCTATTCTTTTTTTTATTAATGTTCACTCAATACAAGGCCCAAGAGACACTCTAGGTAGGTTACTGTGTGAACTTATATTAGCGTAGAAAAAGCAAGCGTTAGGTGTATATAATTGAAGTAGACTTGAGAAGGAGCAGGAAATCCAATCCTAAACGGGAAACAAGGGATAAACATCAACTCCTATTCAAAAGTCCGGGGAGAAGTGCCATCTTGGTCTTTTACCTTAGATCAAGGGTCGGCAACCTATAGCTCACGGGCCGGATCCGGCCCGCGAAGACATTTTGACCAACCCGCGAGCCTGATTACCAATGACTCTATTTTTAACATGAGAGACGAGGCTTTCGAATTCGACAAAAGGCCTGCTGTTATGTCAGTGCACTAAAAATATTAGATTATCTGCCAGTTATATTTCATGAGACTTATTTTACCAAGTTGCGTTGTCTACGTTTAATGTCAAATAATGGATACATATTTGTTATGACCCTTGGCTACATTAAAAGATAACAGAAGCGAAAGGAACGATAAAGTGAAAGAAGCCAGGGAGGGACTGACATGCGAGGTAGCAGAAATCTAAAGACAGTTAAACATACGCGCATTATACATACATGCGTCATGAATGTGTGGCTGATACCGCATGTGTACGTACGTAAGTGTATATGTTTGCAACTATTTGTACTCGTATGTATGGGTATATGTGCTTCGTTTTTGTTTGATGCGTGTGTGTGTGTGTGTGTGTGTGTGTGTGTGTGTGTGTGTGTGGTTTGTTTGTGGAACAATTTTCAATAACAGTTTCAAACCTACACGTCATAATTTCATCCATTTCACTTCGATTGATTTTTTTCACTTTGAAGTATTTTGACGTTCCTTGAGGAAAAGTAATTTTTGTTAGGTGTTTTTTTTAATTTTAGATTTTCTTTTGTTTTTCTGATTTCTCAATGTTTATTTTCATTATGGTTTTAAATATTTAGGTTGACAGGGGTCTGAATATGTAATTTTCCTTCATTTTTTATTAATGGCTTTCGTCCGGCCCGAGACTGGTCATTATAACACGATCCGGCCCGTGGGGTCGAATGAGTTGCCGACCCCTGCCTTAGATGTTTTAACACTCTCTTTTCGATGTTAAGTATAAGCGTCCATTTTGTTTCCGTTCACTCTAAACCGTCGTCGTTACTCATATATGTATTTAAATCAAGCTTTCTTGATTTTATTTCAAACGCTTTACGTAAGATGGAAATCCGTGAATGAACAGACTGTTCTTGAATTGAAAGAAAGACTTAGTCATAGTCTTTCGAAAGTTTCGTCATTCATTATCAGGAATTAGGGTTGGGAAGATGTATAATGCTGATAGATTTTTTAATCTATTAAAAAATATTTCAGCAATGAAACTTATTACACAAACTTACTTGGCATCTTTCTCAACAGAGTGTAATTTACGGTCACATCCAAAATCGTCATAATACCCCTAACAAACAGTTCCAGATTTGGTAGATTGTTATAACTTTTATAACATTCCAAAACATCACAAATAAGTGAAGCTGCTATATCGGTTGTAACTGCAAAATTGTCCAAATCGTTTAAATGCATAATTATCCATCCCACAAGATGTTTAATATCTTTAAAAAAACAAAAACAAAAAAAAAACTCTAAACTAATTGAGTTTATTTTTTCAGGTTTTTAGATAAGACGTTTAGCCATCTTGACACCATGTCTCATAAGAATCACTGAAAAACACTTTGAGTTATTCAGCTAGAAATTTAACAGGTTAAAATCCTTTTTGCGTCAACCCCACTATGTCTTCCCAAATGAGCAAAGGTGAGAAATAAAATATCATTCAGTCCTTCAATAATGGTACCAAAATTTATACACTGGTTTCCCTCTTCAAAATCTATTCAAGAAACATCAAGAGAACAGTGAATAAGGAAACAGTAGAAAGGAAAACTGGATACAGGAAGAGGGATCATCATTTCAATTTAGATCTAAAAAGATCAATTAGAAAAAAATCCAACTCAACCCATAAGTCATTTAGCACGTAAGAGAGGAGTTTCAGCTATGACATTTCAAAGAGCAGTGAAAAAAGACTTGAAAATGAAATCGTACGTGAAACCTGTGAGGCAACTTGTCACTCCAGGACAGAAAGTTAAATATTTAGAGAGGGCGAAGATCATCTTGAATAAATTGGGAAATGACCCTGGAATAATACATATATATATATATATATATATATATATGTGTGTGTGTGTGTGTGTGTGTGTGTGTGTGTGTATAAATCAACTAATAACTAATACAACAAAAGTTAATAAAAATGAACACGCTACCACCACTTGTCTGAATAACTGGATTTTTCTGTATCCTTGGAAACAGTGAAATATGAATTTTTGGGTGCGTTTAAAACTCAGTAAATTAAAAAAAAGTTACTACAATATTCGCTTGAACATGAAATGGAACTAATGTTTTTAATTTAATCACAAAATTAAATTTGAATCTTTTAGCTTCAATTTTTGAAACATGGTTATTACTGTGTAGCGAAAAAACATATTTCAACCAGTTAATTTAATATATATATATATATATATATATATATTTGAACTTTTTGTCAATCCTTCATGAGTTCCGATCCTTAGCTATAATAATATAATGATGACTATGTCATGTTCGTTTCTGATCGAATTCATCATAATTCTTGTTAAGCTAGGAGAGTAATTATACATTTTTATTGCTCAAAGTAGAGTCCAGTAGTGTTATAAAAACCTCATTGAATTCCAGTAAGATATCTTTAATCATTTTTAAGATAAAACGGTTCAGAGCTTAATCTAGCAATTGGACAATTTTGCTGTTCCACCTGGTATAATATAAATCCACCTATATGGCAGTAAAGGTTGAAATCTGCTGCTAAAAGATACAACGAAGAAGACTAAGTGGAAAGGAAATAAAAAAAGAACATTTCGAAAACAAGAAAGACAACTGAAAATTCTTGGATGCGTAATGATGGAGGGGTGTTAAGACAATTTGACACTCACAGGAAATATCGAAGGCTAAAAAGACAAGGGAATACAGAGGGTCATCTCCCTGGTGAGTTTCTTTGAATAAATAACGGAAAGGGGTGGGTGTGAATGGCAAAAAGACAGATTATAGTATGAACGACAAGGGATAGGAAGTTGTGGAGGGCTATCATCGCATACGTCTTGAAGGGACACATACAAGAAGAAAAGCTGTATTAAAAGGAAAGCACCGGTCGATAAACACAATTCGCTTCAACAATGTCTCTCATGTGTTCAAGTGTTTATTGACTTAAATGTAAGTGAACTCCATGATTTCATGACGGTATTTTCAAATTTTAACTGATTAGTTTAATGTGGAGTCTTTGTTTCGAAATCAAGAACTCTTTATTAAAAACGTTAAAAATAGTCTTATATCCTAGTCTCACTGAGTGTTATCAAAGCACGAGAGTCAAAATTCTATTTTTTTTTCAATCATTTTACCCCAAGCGAGGGAAAAAAACACTTTATTAAAGAGAAATGACAATAAAAGAATAGGAATTACAAAGACAGACTGATATTGCATTTCAATCTTTGAAGATCAAAGTTGACTGGGAAGCAAGAAGCTTGAAGAGTTTTCCATAAGTGAGAAGTTCGAGAGAAGAAACTATTAGCATAGAACTTACGGTTACATCTAGAAATTTCAATTGTAAAACGATTAAATCTGAATGCTAATCTAGTACTGCACATAAGTTCATAAATTCTAGATATCACAGAGGAAAGGTCATCAGAACAATTGCCAGGAACATATTTATAGAAAAGGCAGAGGGAAGCTACGTTTCAACAGTGGGAACATAACACCGTCTGCTTTTTACGTTTGTGTCTTCAGTGTGACTTAAATACCCGAAGGATCGTGCCAGAGATCCCGCTTTAGCCGCAGTTAGACGTATTCATTGCTCGATATTGCCTCAGTTAACGCAAGCGTTTCATCTTAAATTTCATATGATGATTGATTCCATCATTGAAAGACTCTTTCCAAAATTTCTGTTTTTTTTCTTCTTTGTTTTTTTTTTTTTTGTTTTTTTGGTTGCACACTAAGTTCATCTTTGTATCTCAGAAGGGGTCTTCCGACATTAAAACTGACCTTCAAGAAACTCATTGTACGATTGTACGATAGACTTTTCGGAAGTCTACATTCAGGTATTCTTATTACATGACTTGTCCATCTTATTTAAGACTGCAAGATGTTAGCCACTATGTTTACGTTATACACTTACTGAGTAATTATATTGATGTTACTCTTTAAGGAAATTTAAAAAATCAGGAGGGTTAGTAGAAACATGTGTACCTATTAAATAACAAAATAATGCTGGATAAAAATTCGATTTAAAAAAAAAAATAGTGTTTTTGTTTCGGATACGAAAATAAAGCTGGCTGATATAGATTCGAAGACGTGCCAATAAGAGATGTTCATAATTCCTTAAGTAGATAATTGAACTTTACATTAACATGATCGTCTCCTGTGACCGAGTTGTTAACAGCAGGCATCGACTTTAGGAATGGTTTCTCCATGGGGAAAAAAGGGGATATAGGTTCGATTACAGTCGAGAGACAAATATTTTTTGACTAGGACTTCATAATCTAGGCCATTTTTATTCTTGAAGAAAAGACAAATCTCAACGTAAACACGTGTACTCACTAAGAATAACGTTTATATTTGACTAATTGTTTCGTTTTCTACGGCTTATAAAACCTTTGTAGGTTATTTAAAGCCAGAAAATATTTTTTGATGGTAAAAATTTCTTTTTTTTATTTGGAAATAAAAATGATTTTTTTAATACAAATCTTACTAATTAACCCATAGCTGGAGAAGGAAAAGATGGATTCATATATTTCCCAAGGTATTTGTGCATAAGCGATTATAACGAACCCAAATGGAATTGGAACTTGGTTCTTCGATTAACAATTCCGAGACATTATCTATTACACCACCTACACCCCAAACTTACAGCATCTGGTATTTACAAACGGTCACCCATCTAAGTACTAATCAGGTACGACGTTGCTTAACTTCGATCATCGTACGGGAACGAGTGTTTTAATATGATGTTACCACAAGCCTAATGTTTGTAGGAATAAGAAATAATGTCAGATATTAATTCCATTTAAGAAAATGTGTGTTTTGATGTGTATGTGTGTGTTTGGGTGTGTGTGTGTGTGTGTGTTTGAGGGAGTGTGTGTGTGTGTGTGTTTGGGAGTGTGTGTCTATGTGAGTGTATGTGTGAGTGTGCGTCCGATGTGCGCCCGTGTGTGTATGTGAGTGCGTATGTGTGATGTGCTCACGCGTATGTATGTGATGTGCGTGAGTGTGTGTGCGAATGTGGGTGTGTGCGGCGTGCACGTGTGTGAGTGTGATGTGTGCGCGTATGTATGTGTGATGTGAGGGCGCGTGTGATGTGCGCGCGCGTGTGAGTATGTGTGTGTGTGTGACGTGCGCGTGCGTGTGACGCGTGTGCGTGTGTGTGTATGTGAGTGTGTGTCTGAGAGAATGTTTTAAATATAAATTCAGCACGGCAGAATATTTTCATAAGGAACAAGTACAAAACTTTCCCTATTTCTTTAGATTCATCAGAAATTTTTGTTGAATAATATGGAGATATCTGTCTATATTTCTGATTATAATTATTGACATTATTTATATGATCCAGCGGATAAAAACCTTGGTTGAAGCCAATGACTTAACCGAAAGATTTGTGAGTTCAATACCTGACTAGTTGGAGAGTTGAATTAAAAGGGATAACAGATACTGAAACACTCGAAGGAGGCATGGAACGGGGAGCTAAACTAAAATATATAATTTCTTAAATCACTGTACATAAAAAAAACATATTTTGTTATTTTAATATTAATTGTAGGAATTATATAAAAATAAATATTTATTACAAAAAAATTACAGACATGTAAGAAAAATGAGTGAGGACAAAGTCTTTGATATGTTTGTCTGTTTATCACCCCTTTTCAATTTTTTTATTGTTTTATAGCCTGGTTATCAAGCCACTGACAATAGAGTGTGTTTTTGTATATATATCTATGCGTTAGTGTGTTCATGCATCTCTCTGTGAATTATTAGTTTAATTTATTGTACGTTTATGATCAGTACTGTTGACTGATATCATATTTCCTCAACAATATACAAGTCACACTCCTCACCCCAACCCTCCAGCCGACGAGTTAAGGCTGCCACTTACTTTGATTTTCGCCGAATTTAAGTTGAGCCAAATTTTAATTTGTTCTTTCTTCAAAGATAAATTCGGTTAAAATATGTTATAAATTAAATAAAATGGACATTTTAAATTAATAAGTTGAAATAAAAATATGTTCTTTAAAAACAGGGCATAGAAATCATTAGAGATTTTTAAAATATTATATATAAAATTAAAGCAAGAAATACATTGCCTGTTAAGTATGTATCCAGTTTGAAAGGGATCAGATCTATGCAGCCCGACTAATCATGTTAATTTTACTTAATTCTTTTTTACTTACTTTCTTTGTTTTCTCTTTCTTTCTTTCTCTTTTATTATGAACGAAATGTGTTTTTGTCAATATTTTAAGGCGCAGATTTCAAACAATTTTGGCTCCAACTAAAGTCAAGAATGAAGACAAATCACTACTAGAAAAATTTAGTTGCGCTGAAATAGATATACTTGAAGGTTGACACATTTGGGTTGAGCCCAACAAGCCTGACACCTGAATGAAGAGACCTGGTGCACTACGCAGGTTTTGAATTAAGAGTTGTTCTTCTCCTAGGTCAGTAGCAATCCAAGGTTATAGAACCCAGTCAGTTCTGCTATTTATCCAAAGCTGGAGGAAGAAGAAGGGGATTAATACCTTTCACCAAGAGCATTAGCACGAAAGCGAATGTAATAGATTCGACTGGAATTTGAACTCGGTACTCCGATTCCTCAATCTGAGACGCTATCCACTGCTACCGGCTCCTTCAAAAAGTGTGGTTGCACAAAGCCTTCGCACCTATAATCAAATCATATGTGCTGGTGTCTGGGCTGTCAGTTCCTAGGAACTGAGCTGCTTGACCCTCATAAGTCGAATATGACGAGAGAGTCCATATATATATATATATATATATATATATATATATATATATATATATATATATATATATATAAGACTCTTCATTAAGACGAATTGAGTTCTCCGGTCACTGGCGTGTTTGTCTAAAATAAATACGTCTAAATCAATGGGTTAGGTAAAATCTCCCACTGATACCAGATCAGTCGGGTTTCGATCCCGGATTGAGGAAATCGAATGTCTAGCCACTCTGATGAGCTGTGAAACAACGAAACAGTCTGTCTGAATGACAATATATATATATATATATATATATATATATATATATATATATATATATAAATCAAGTGGACATTGAAGTCAACACTCAGAGGCAATAGGCTGTATAATGCTAGACGTAATCGTCAGGCCGTATTATATATTCTATATTCTTTATATATATATATATATATATATATATATATATATATATATATATATATATATATATATATATATATATATATATATTATATATATATAAATATAAATATATATATAAACAGTCAAAACAAAGAAAAACAAAATAAAAATAGCTAAAGAAGTGGCCGAAATTGCTTTGGACACTTGAAAAACACAAAAATTAAATACAAACTACGAAAAAAAGTAAAAACAAAAAAAAAAAAAAATAAGCAAAATTAATTTTCTAAAGAAGTGGCAAGAAATTGTTTTGGATACTGAAAATCATATAAATGTTTGTATATATATATATTTCACCAAACTACGAATGATGTAAAATGTAAAAATAAAAAAAATAAGCAAAATTAATTAGTAAATATTTACCAATACCAAAAATAATCAAAAAGAATGCAAAAACAAAAAACAACATTTTAAAAAATCCTGTTTGCCTGATGATCGCAAAAGCGTGGAACCCAGAATCACAAACTCATATCTATACAACTGAATATGTTAGCGCTATCATTGATATTATGCACTTTCCACTAAGTACTGCGCATATATATATATATATATATATATATATATATATATATATATATATATATATATCTGAGATGAAGTATTGTAATTATTTACACTATTTACCTTGTTCAGAATAGTGTCGTCAAAGACACATAGTCAAGTGGATGTAAGCGTTCGTTGAATCCAATGGCTTCACTCAAAGAGTTGTGTCTTCAATACTTAGTTACAAAAACTATGGACCTATAAATCCAATCACATACACACGCGCATGCGTGGACACACACACACACACACTCACACACACACACACACACACATATATATATATATATATATATATATATATAATTGCAACTACAAGCTTATACTTTCAGACTACATCCGTTTTGATTCTAATAAAGAGAAAATAATTTGTCTCGGGTTAATAAGCACTTAAATGAGCATAACATGTATACTTCGAATATACATGTTAAAAATCTAACGAATCACATTTTTTTCCGCATGATGCAACAGTCTCGTTAACCAAACAGCGATCGTGCTTTCAAAACCGCGACATCGTCAAACGCAATCAACGACCAGGAACGTCACCGAAAAGAAATCTGACTAATTGATAATTAAGCCTTTAATTAATAACTAACAGATTCTATTTTGCATTGGCATCCGTCAGTCTAGGAATGCGATGGTGTAGATCAGAGCACTGCAAGGTTTTGGCGAGGACTATGCAGATCTTGGACAGCCCATATATCAAGGCCTCTATTCTAGGCATTGCCGTAGATTCCAAAGAAAAGGATAAAATCTATACAGATTATTGTCGAAGCAGCTGAAGGATTTTTCGTAAATAGACACAGTATGGCCCCAATTTTGATTTGCTTTGGGTTTGCACCATAACCTTCTTTTTTTTTTGAATATATATAAAAGTGTCTGTTTGAATTCATAATGTCTCTTCTAGATTGGCTGCCATTCAATGCCAGAGATGCCAGTCGGCAATGCTAGTTATTGTAAGTCATTCGTTCTCCATCTTTGTTTTTTATGACCTGTGGCCAACTTTTACCCTGAATTTTTTTGGTGAACCGCCATAATCATTCGATGAAAAAAGAGGTATTTTATTTTTTACTAACAGATAATTTTGGGAATTGTACTACATGTGTATGATTCCTTTATATGTAATCCCTATATAATTTATATTTTAAATCAATTTTATTATTAATATTTTTTAAAATATTTTACATTAAATAATTCATATTAAGGTATTAATATTTTATTAGAAAAACTGTCGTGTAGAATGCTCACCAACTGAATCACGATGACCATAAACTATATCCAGCACCAAGGCCTCTGATCAGAAGGTTTTCAGGAGCGTTGAACCACCTCTTAATTATTGTGTATTCTATGTCCACCCTGACCGAGAGTATTCCATGTGTTAGTGTCGTAACAATTGGCGAATAGAGAACACTCAAACTAGGGTCAAAATATGAAAATATAAAAGTACAGTAGAAGAAATTATCACTAATACATATTTATAAAAAAAAATTAAAAATTATCAGCGATTTATTATTGGATAAAAACAAAAAAATTCCAGCAATATATTATTGGAAAAAAATTACTAAAGTTCACAAGATAAAATTTCGGCATTAAATGGCCCATAAAAAGTTGATATGCCGTTTAATCACACCAAAACCTGAAACACAGACTGAGTCTTTCCACTTGAGAATTCATATTGCTAATTATCACATCATTGCAAAAGTTCATGCCCGATTTACGTTGTTGATATAAAATGACCGTAACCTGACCGTTTGTTTTGGAGCCGATTTCTGATGTGTTTTAGACTGAAACCTTACATCGTTCAGTTGTGAGTCAGACTTTGTTGAATGTTGACGTTTTGTCCACAAATGAATGCCTTAAAGATGGAAGATGAAAAGTTTCAATTTCGCCATATTATGCTCTATGAATTTCGGAAAAGAATCAGCGTCGGGACTGCGACAAAAAAAAAAAAAAATAAAAAAAATAAGGAGGTTCATTTGGATCATTGCCCGAGCTGTATGGGTGGTCAAAAAAGT